CATAGGCAGAACTAAACTGTATGGTGCTTGAATCTTTGGTGCTGTTTCTCAGATTATTGTCCTATGAGCTTCTAGATAGCAACACAGCAAACGAACTTGCATGTGACCAGTAATTACATGTAGTTAGTTATATGCGACTTCCAGGTTACAAGAACACAGAGTACCCTAGACAGGGTGGTCACAGACAAAAGGCTGTAAACGAATTCTTAAAAGAATGCCAGCAATTTTGCATTTTAAAACAATCCTCCAGGTAATGTAGCTAAATAAAGCCACAGTACTTTCAGGAACGACCATTTTACTCACGTTACAAAGCTGAAGTTTAAATTATGCTAAAACACAGATAATTACTCCCAGGGTAAACAATTACAGTAGACAGGAATGTGCTGACCAGATTTTGTTCTTTAAGTGTTTGAAAGAATGATGAATCAGAAGGATACACTCTTGCCAGAATAGTCAGTGAGCATCACACATGGTCATTCACACAGTGAGGCATGAGACCTCTAAAATGCAAGTGTATTTGGACAAAGACACTGCTCCCCAGCAAGTAAGCTTCACCTCATCTGTCCATTTACTTTAAACAAGAATCATTTTAGTTTGAGTAAATATAAAAAATAAGCCTAAGAAAAACGGTGATGGTCTGAATAAGAATGGACCCCATAGGCTCATATGTTTGAAAGCCTAGTCACCAGGAAGATGAACTCTTTGAAAGGATGAAAAGGATTAGGAGGCGTGGCCCTATTGGAGGAAGTGTAACACTGGGAGTGGGCTTTGAGGATTCAAAATCCCATGCCAGATCCAGTCTCTCCCCACCTCTCTGTTTGTCTGTCTCTATCTTTTTCTCTCTGTTTGTGGATCAGGATGTAGCTCTCAGCCACTTCTCCAGCACTATGCCTGCCTACCAACCACATTCTCTTTCATCATAATAGACTCTGACTCTGAAACTATAAGCATGCCCCTATAAGAAAATGCTTTCTTTTATGAGTTGCCTTGGTCATGGTGTCTCTTCACAGCAGTAGACTAAGACAATTACTTATGGTGATATTTTAATTGTACTGAAATGTGATTTTATTCGTATGTTAATAAATAAAGTTGCCTGGGGGTCAGAGCTAATAGCAAGCCATAGCAGAAACTGGCCGGTGGTGGTGCATGCCGTTAATCCCAGCTTTTAGGAGGCAGAGCTAGGCGGATCTCTGTGTGTTCACGGATACAGCCAGCATGGAGACACACGCCTTTAATCTCGATACCAACCATAGAAGACCTGGAGGTCTGTACAGACAGGCAGTGACAAGGAGTTCATGTGGTTGGGTTTACAACCAATGAGAAGGCAGAATAGAAAGTCTATAAAAAAGACAAACAGACAGGAAGTAGGTCTCTTGCTGAAGAGGACAACAGCAGCAGTGAAGGGTAAGGTTTTTAGTTCTGACCTCTTGAACTTCCATCTCTGCATTGGCTCTGTGTTTCTTATTTAACAAGACCATTCATCTACAATTACTTTCTTCAGAAAACATTTTAAATCCTCATCAAATATCATAAGGAAAAGAAGTCTCACATATGGATGCAATAGTAACAGGCATTATCAAGTAAAGCTCCATGACGCTTACTTTCACAGTATCACAAGCTTCTGAAGACTGACCGTGCCAGATAATTTCTATCATTTCATTTTTAATATTTGCCCTTTTCCTTAACCCTTAAATAGCATGATTTGATTTTTATAAAATCTTCTCCAAGGTATACTTTTCATTAATTTAAGAGGGCTGAAGAAAGCAAGAACAATACAGGGCCTCCCAGCCCCCACTCCAGTCCTACCCTGAGATTATCCAACATGTGCAGTGAAGAAAGAAGAAAGTCAGCAGAGGACTAGTCCCCCAATATCAACATGGCTTTCTAACCAAAACCATACACTTGCTCTATAGCTCCTCCTAACTAAATTATGATGGCACAGCCACTTCAAGCAGCACTCATCCCAATGACAGGAACAGGTTCACCACCCAGCACAGCTCTCCTCTCATCCAAGCTTAGGTGAAATCCAGACAAGGTGGTAGAGACAAACTGCCTCTACTTAGCGGGCCCGAATGTTTGTGGTTATTTCTTTTTCTTCACTTCAGGATAATGATGTGACTTTTAGAGAGAAATAAAAGTGTATGTGTGTATGTGTGGGTGGGTGTGTGGGTGGGGGCTTGTCTTGAGGTTGGAGTTTGACATCCGCAGCCTCAGTTCATAGTTCTCAGGACTCTAAGAACAGCCCAGCGTGGGCTGCTCAAAACCCAGTTGGTGGTGAGAGTCAGCCAAGGCCACATTCCAGCTTCCCACCTGCCCAGTGTGACTCTACATTAAACAGGAGATCATTTCAATTTAATTTTGTTTTCTTTGTGAGCTTGAGCTGGAGCCCAAGGTCTCGTGTGTGCTCAACAAGCACTCAACCATTGAACTCTACCCCAACCACGAGTTAATTTAAAACCCTGACCTCGGGGTTGGGGATTTAGCTCGGTGGTAGAGCACTTGCCTAGCAAGCGCAAGGCCCTGGGTTCGATCCTCAGATCCAAAAAAAAAAAAAAATCCTGACCTCTAATGGACTCCACTAAATAAACTAGCCTGCTCTAACAGCATGAAGCAGCTGAACAGGCATCAATCTACCAGATATGTAAATTACTTACTTTACATGTAAAATACTTATTTTGTCAAGTGTTACTATATATAGCACAATTCAGTCTTAAATCTTTGAGATTTTTTCATTTTATTTACAAGAAAGTCAAATATTCTAGCCAAAGTTAAATGTTCTAGGAGGTAGCCCTGGTGATCTATCAAATTCTAAAGGTTATGTATGTGAAATCAGGAGACTAAGCCACGTTGCGGGGCTCTCTGCAGGAGTGAATGATTTAATACATACAGTGATTACACAGAGGATGCATGTTCTAGCCACACACAATAATGGGGCTTAAGAATGAGTCCACAAAGTACTTCACTAATATTTGGATACTTTTAGCAAAATGTTCTTACACGTCATCATCTAGCTTATGATGAGTGCTCATCTGTATGATGAGTAGCCCCAGTGCAGCAGGCCTGGCACACATGAGCTCCCCAGAATGACCTGTCTGGTGCCAGGCTTTGGTCCCCAGGATAGTCAAATGTTTGTACTTCTCTCCGACATTGGTGTGACCTGATTATCAACATGGAATATCTCCTATAGCTCTCTGTGTTCCAGAAGATCTGGGGAAACCTTCTATGCCCTACTCCCTTATCCATCCCCAGATCACCACACCTATGGAGAGCAGCTTCCATGGCAACTGCTCTGCGATGGAAACTGGTAGCTTGGATGAGAATGGCCCCACAGACTCATATGTTTGAATGCTTGGTTCCCAGTTGGTGGAACTGTTTGGGAAGGATTAGGAGATGTGGCCTTGTTGGAGGAGGTATGTCACTGCAGCAGGTTTTGAGGTTTCAAAAGACTCCGAGAATCAATCAATCAATCTCTCTCTCTCTCTCTCTCTCTCTCTCTCTCTCTCTCTCTCTCTCTCTGCCTCATGGCTGTCTCAGGATGCAAGCTTTCAGCTACTACTCCAGCACCATGCCTGCCTGCCTGCTCCCAGGCTCCCTGCTATGATGGTCATGGACCTAAGCCTCTGAAACCCTAAGCTCCAACATAAAGGCTTTCTTTTACATGTTGCCTTGGTCATAGGGTCTTGTCACAGCCAACAAAAAAGTAACTAAGACAGAAATCCTCTTGGAGCTTAAGCTCAAAAGTTCCATACTCCACACCTGACTGATTGCAGCCCATCCCCGCCCTGTCCTATGGAAAAGATTCCACACAAACTTAGTGCCTGGTACACACAGGATGAGCCGAAACCTTGGCAGATGGCAGATAAAGCTCCTGGTCTCTTTCACCAGCCCGTGATGCATTTCCTCACAAAAGTGTCATAAAGCAGGTCTCCACCTCTACCTCTTGTCAACACAGCAGGTTCCCTACCAAGATGACTCCCAACTAGAGAGCGAGTGACGTGCTCGCTCTGAAAATGATCATCAGACACAGGGTGCTGCTGGGTAATGGGAGAGGAGGCAGTCAGTGACTAGCAAATCTCTCAGATAATTCAGATATGTCACTGAAATTAAAATTCCTTTAAAACAAACAAACAAACAACAACAAAAACAGGGTTCCACTATATAGCCCTAGCTGGCCTGGAACTCACAACATACAGGAAGGTGCCTTGGAATTTATAGAGATCTGCCTGCCTCTGTCAGCACACACAAATTCACGAGTGCTGGGCTCAAAGGTGAGCACCACGGCGTCTAGCTAAAATGACTTTTTATACTGTTGTTGCCTCTGGTACACTGTATGATAGTTTAAATGGTGAAACTCTTCCCACCCAGAAGAGTTTCCTATTGACATTCCAGAGGTCCTTAGAAAAATAGGGGAAAAAGTGACCAACAGTTAATTCTGAAAGCACATAAGCTTCATCGGAACTCAACAACTCTGTAAATAATAAGGAAAATCCTGTGTGCTTTTCTAGAGTGTCTTTCAAAGTCTCAAGGTGACACATAGATCACAAATAATATTAATCTAAGTATCACAGCTACTTCTCAGAGCAATAAAGATACAATGTCGAGGCACAAAGAAAATGATTCCCAACTTCTCTTCACAATCCAATTTCCTTCTCACCTGACCCCTACTATCCAAAAGAGTCTGATTCCAGAACTGGAGTCCTGAAAGAGACAATTTGTTCCAGAATGCAGCATTCCCAATCCAAATAAGTGATATGAAAGATTCCTTGAACTGCTAATTTTTTTTTTTTTGCATCTAAATATAAGAGGTTTTACTAATGTCACGAAATACGCTGTCACTGGGGATATGTACCTTTCCACCTCCACCATCATCACCTACAAGTCACAGCCCAGACAGCACAAGTGCCTCAGATGCCAGGTGCCGTGGGCACACGTTAGCAGTGTGTGACACCCACAGCTCTGCCCAGTGCAAATCAGCTCCGGGCTGTGAGCGAGTAACTCACCTTCATGAGGTGCTGATTTATCCATTTCGTGAAGGTTTTCTTTTGAACTTTGTCCCGCTCATCTGGAAGATAAAAAAGGAAACATAAAGTAAGGTTGGTATGACCCATGCACAGGAAACTTCAAGTCTTAGAGATAAACAAAAATGGGGTATTGGAAGGATATCCTCCTGTGCTCACGCTACCCCAAGGTGCTGGTACCTTTCAAATGGAAGCCAAGGCCTCGCCCCAGCACCAGCACAGACAACGCGCTTGGGAGAGGGGGTCCTGCAGGCAAAGTGAACGATGGACAAATCACGAACTGTGGAGGCCCTGCACGGCAGAGCAGCTCCCACATCACAGGATCTGCTGTGCTCTCTCAGCCCCCAGCAGCAAGAGAACAGCCGACATGACGTTCAGATCATCCCGTCCAACTGGCAGCCGGGGACCCTAACAGTAAGCCCTCTAGAAAACTGTTTTTAAATGCCTTTAAAAAAAAAATCTGGGGCTGGGAGTGTGGCTCAGTGGAGCAAGGCCCTGGCTTTAAACTTGAGCACTGCAAAAAGAAAGTTCAAGGTTCAAGAAAAGGAAGCTTCCATATTACATTACAAAATGAAAACTTAAGGAATTCCTGTAGCGCTCCTCTAAACTGTATTGATTTACCTAAACTTCACATAACAATAGGAACTCCTACAATATCATTAAATTCAATGTGCTATGTGTTTCATGTTAAACTCTTGTTCTCTTGGGTATGAATGGTGACCAAAATGGGATGTCTAGTTTTCTAAATTAAGCAAATACCAAGCATACAGGTTAAGAAGCATGAACAGGAAGAACCTAGGTCCTAAAACTGGACTGGCTGACTTCTTACACAAATGGTCTACCCGGAAAGGTAGTTTAACAAAGCACTTTACTTAGAGACTGTAACCGTCACCAGGGGCTGACCCTAAGTGCTGCATGGTTGATGGGCAGGCTCCGAAGTACCATTGGAGACCGAGGTGATGCTAAAAACTCCAGGAACTATGATCCACAATGAAACGCACGGGAGAGCGTGAAAGACCAAAGCTCACCTGGTGATGTGTACCACCTGGATTCTGCGGCCATCCTCTAATGACAGCAGCCCAAACCTTGTCTTAAGTCATGGTGAACCTAGATGCGCCTTGCCGTACCCAGGAGACCCTCACCTAGAAAGGCCCTGCAGCAGCTTTCTTCAAGACAGTAACTACCCTGCAGTCAGCGAAGAACTTAAGCCTGGGAAGAACGGGCAATTTTACCCCCTTATGCATTATTTCAAAAGGGAATCATTTTAAAAGGGAGTATGCCGGATTACACCATCTAATTTTCCAATTACAAGTCTCATGGTGATTTTCCTCGTTTTAGTCAGGGATGCTTAACACTGAGATTTATATTTAGGGCACTGTTGCCATGACAACAAAGAGGAGGGCCATCATTCCTATGTATTAGCCAGATCTGTCGGTTTTATGCACTGCCCAGTTAGTACTCTAAATCAAGTTTTATAGCATTCCTCTAGTTAAAATTATCTTATTTACAATCAGCCTTAAATGAAAACATACATTTATGCTCAACTTATGAAGTAGAAAGTAGCTGAAAATATACAAAAACACTTGAATACAAATAATAATAATAGAATTTAAGAAAAAAATCACATAAAGAGCAGTTATTACAGCTCACCCTGCTCACATTTCCCAGGAAAGAGCAATCAAAGTTAAAAGTACTTAGCGCCGCACACAGCAAATGTCAGTGCTACATAAAGACTTATCCTCTGTGAAACTATACGAAGCAAAGTCCTCCTAGGCAAGCGAAAAGGTGGTCCAGAGTCTACCCGGATGCCTCAAGGCACTCCACCGTCGCCAGCTCTGCCCTGCAAGCCAAAGCTGGTAGCACAACTTTCCTTTCCAGGTTCCAGAATATGCGAGAGGCGTGGCGGGGCGACTGTACTAACCCATACAGCACATCAGTCCCACCAGCTGGGCGCTCCAGTCCTGACCACTTTTCATAAGCTGCCCCATCATTCTGGGGGAATCGGTGCAGACGGGTCCTGGACACTCTCGTTCCAAGTGTGATGTGTCGGGGCGCTGCTAACTTTCTCCGCAGAAAGGAAAGCTCTGACTAGACACTCCTCCTTGCAGCGGAAACTAGTCAACACCCCCTTTTAAACAAACATTAGCAAGCCAGAGGACTGTGCAACTGTGACTGCAAACAGGCTAAATTGCCTGCTTCTCTCCTGAAGGGAGCAATCAGAAGTCTCTTTAAAGACAGAGTCCTCGGTCTTCTCCCCCCCACCCCCCACCCCTCTTTACTCTTTCAGAGGGGACAGTGAGGCAACTAAGAGGTTGTTCGGTTTTGCAACAGAAGCAACTGAATACTGCTTTCTAACCTGGCAAGCAGGATTCCCTTAGAGTCAAAAGCAACACCCAGCTGGCACACCTCACCCTTGCTACACACATGAGATTTGGAAAGCTCGCCTGTACAGGCCAGACATACTCTTCAGGGAGAAATGTCACCATCAAGAATTTCTGTATGTATTCACTTGAATTTCAAAGCAAGTCTCTGAGTGAGGAGATACTGTAAACTTTAAAGCTGCAGAACCAGTGCACACCTACGATTTACCAGTCTGAAGCCAACCAGTGGGATAGAACAGAGGAAGGAAGGAAGGGAGCAGAAAGGAGGGAGAAAGGGAGAGAGGGAGGGCGGGAGGGGGGAGGAAGGAGAGAAGAAAAGAAGGGAGAGAAAAGGAGAGGCCTGAGGGAGATCTTAAGTTTGATCCTAAAGCTTACTTTTTTCTTGGTCAAACAACAGAAGCCCTAACCTTACAACTCAAGAAAACATGGAATTCTGTTTCTCAGAACCTCACTTCTAAGCATGAATAAATAATATCAAGAAGTGAGAACCCTTGTTCTGAACACACGAGAGATCATCAGCACCTCCATGCTTATGTGACACATCAAAACGATTTTACCAAACAGAAGCTATACAAACAGTAACTCCAAAATAAGTAAAAATGATCACTCATACTTATTTTCAACAATAGGGAACAGCGAATCTGGTCATGAAAAGATACTCCAATATTGCTAGATTACTCCTGCTAGGATGTTCTGAACATCCTCAGATGCTATCTAACTCCATCCTCATCAGACTGCACAGGATAAATGGTGATGGCTGCCACTGAGAGTTCAAAGTGCATGCCCGGAACACAGCACTTTACTGTGTCTTTCCTTTTCCAAAAGGAAAAGAGGCCATCTTCCTGGACAAAAGGCGTGTGGGGATAGAGGTCATTTCCCTAGACAAATGGCATGTGGATACAGGTCAGAGGATCCTTCCAATAAAGATATGGGGAACGTAGTCAAGTACTCTGCTACTCAAAAATGAATATAATGATCATTTTCTTTTCTTTTTTTAAATTTTGTTTTCTTTGAAATGGAGGGTCTCAAGTAGCCCAGGCTGGCCTTGAACTACTCATCCTCTTGCCTCCTAGTCTGAACTGCTTGGGTTACCAGTGTGTGCCAACACACCAGGCCAAAATAAATAGAGAGACATACAGATAAATAAGCAAACTTTATGCTGGCATAAATTTATGAGAATGATTAACAGCAAATGCAGAGAAATGGGTAATGCTTACCCTACTATCATATAGATAGGTAGATTATAGCATTTAGCAGGGTAATTTGGTAGTTTGTATCATATACTTAAATGAATATACTTTCTGAATCAACAATTCTACCTGCAGGAACTGGTAATGAAATGCTTGTGTATAGTGTGTGACTGCCTCACAAGGATGTTCACTGTGGCCTAACATTTGAAACCGTTTTAATGAATAGGAGACCAGACAAATGAGTCATAATTCACTCATGCTTTGAAACTTCAGTTTTAAAAACTGGCACATACTGACATGAAGAAAGATTTCCAAGACAGAGACAAAATGAAAACTAATCAATGTTGAGATGCACGTATCTACAGAAGGCATGTAATAAAGTTATCAGAAGATGTGGAAGGTGCAAAGAGGGTGCTGGTATGCTGACACTCATGTCTCATTCCAAGTATCTCTGCAGTCAGTGACGCTTTTATAAGAAAGACGTTTCTGCATCATTACTGATACTAACTGGGAGGAAAGGGTGGGAAGCTCCTTTACTCACTCATGTATTGAACAGCCTAGCAGACTGCATAGAAGACACAGGAAAAAGACCAAGACCAGGCCCCAGTGCCCTGTTCAGGTTTAAAGGCGGAGCGGTACAACAGGTGTGCCGGGCTTGTGCCTACGCTCACGGCTGAGGAGCGGGCTGGAGAGGGAGGAGATGAAGGCTTGCACAGAGCAGCAGACAGCAGGAGTAGCTGACAAGAGAAAGGCTAACCGTCAGGGGTACAAAGCTGCAGAAGGCCTCTGCAGAGAGAGTCTGGAACTGAGAACATGTGCAGACATTACCCTGCTTGAAGGGTTTCCTTGTTTGAAGTTTGGTTACCACATACTAAAATACAGTATGGTTGCACAGGCCTTTGTGAGGAATCCCGAAACAGGACCTAGAATGTGCTGTGTAAGCTGAGATGCTGAACAGAAGCCTAAAGCTCTCTCTACAAATGCTTTTGTGTTTGCCTCTCCCGGATTGATGATCAGAACACATGCTTTCCTGTCAGCGCAGTTCTGGCCCCACAGTACTAGAAGCCGGAACAGAGGTATTAGGCTCTGTTATGAAGAGGGATTTACCAGTTCATATCTGTTCTTATGATTGACCAAAACATTAATACAAAACTCCAGGAATCTGCTCTTTAATCTACCTTCTCCTACCAGGGCAAACTATAAACATACGAGCACAAAGGGACTTCTAATTATTGTTACATTGCTCCACTTAACAATCACACAAGATCTCTTTGCCATCCCAGCCCATGTTAAGGACAGAGCATGTTTACGACTCTTTATCTGTGTTATACTAACATTGGCTCACACAGTTTGCTCTAAAATTCAAATGACGTAAGAGACTACAGGGTAAAACCCAGGAACTCACACACAACATGAACACCAGGACTCCAGTACACCTCAGCAGGATAGCGCTCGCCGATCAGGCTCCGGGCA